TTTTTGGCCAGGTAGTTCTAGTTGTTCTCGATTCCTATTTAGATTTGCGAGCGCGCACAGAGGCGCGCGCACGCCCACGCGCGCGCGCACACACACACACTCCTATGCCTCCTGCATATGGCAACATGATTTAGTAACCATTCAAAATTACCTTCTTTTCCTCTCCCTTCCTCTCTTTCAACCTTTAAAATACTGGCAATATAGGTGGTTTTTAAAACTAGTAGCATATTAAGTGTTTTTTTTAAACTAAGGGTACAATCTGGTGGATCAAAAAGAAATATAAAAGCTGGGGGATTGGGGAATTTGTCTATATATACAATTTATGGGAATATCTTCGTATGTGCACCCATACACTGTACATTTTAATACTCCTATTACACATCTTTTTTCTTGTCTAATACATTCTTTTGTTCCTTTAACTTCCCCCATCCTGTGTGTGTGTGTGTGTGTGTGTGTGAAGGCGTGAGCACGCGCATTCACACTCATAGCATACACACACAGAGAATGTGACAGACAGCTTTCTTGCGGCCATCAGCACACGTTGCATATCCGGGGTCTTCTCCAGGCACATTGGGGGTCGATCCCGATAAAAAGATCTAGGAGAGGCCCCTGAGCGCTCACACATGAAAGGCAGGGGACTTTAAGATGGATTTGCATGCACACAGGGGAGTTCGATCAATAGCTACCAACATTTATGGCTTAGATTATTAATGTGAAAGCTGGCCAAAAGAATGGGGATGAAAAATTAAAGGTGTCTGTTATCAATTATGCTTAAAGTTATGCAATAATTTACTTACTTTGCCTGGATGTGCAGATCCAGATGTATAAAGTACTATTCTTCAAAAGCCAGGGGATTTCTTTGATAAATTTGTTGACCATGTCAGCCGCCTCTACAATCAAAGATGAACCCAATTCAGATGATGGACTGTATTCAAATTCTTTTTTAAGAAAAGATATATCAACTTCGATGTTTCTCAAACGCATATACATATGTTGGTGGATATGCCCGAATTAACATTTTGTGTATATCCATCTCTGAGGGGCCAGGGAATTAATTACTTATTGAGAATTTAGGTATATATATAAAAGGCTTTGAGTTTGTTAGTTAAATGAGATTATTTACTCTGTGAGGAATGCATAATCTACACACTATCATAAAAAGTATTTTAGCTTTAAAAACAAAGCTGCTTGCTAAAGGAGAATCCTTTGTGGCAAATACAGAGAAATACATTCTTAATGTTCACTTACTTATGCATTTATTGTAAAAAATCAGCACTTTCAGTTTTTAAAGGGATGGGCTATGAAGATACGAACATATTTGCCTTTACTTATCCTGTGTGAATGGTCAAATTTACCTTCAGATGATCTATTTTGATTTATTTTTACCGTATTTCATGTTTAAATACCATTGCAATTCAGTCTGACCTCTTTCTTCTAGGGCAAAGTAATGCACACGACATTTACAGTCTTTTAAATGGTTAGCTGGGAAATGCAATAGCAATTCGCAGAAGTAGTTTACTAATGGGGAAAGTTCTTTTGAAAACCTGAAGGAAAACCTAAGAGTACTTTTGTATTTCTACACTACAACTGTCATATAATTAAAGTACCGAAGAGCATTAAAATAATCCTTTTCCTTCCAAGCTTTCATCCATACATACATAATTTAAATGAGGACCACCGCATACCCCCCCCCCCCC